TTGCTCTGCATCTGTGTGGACAGGTTACAGTGTGATTCTGCAGTATGTTGAATGAGAGCAGGCCCATGTGTGTTATGTGTGTGTGTGTGTGTGTGTGTGTGTGTGTGTGTGTGTGTGTGTGTGTGTGTGTGTGTGTGTGTGTGTGTGTGTGTGTGTGGGTGTGTGTGTGTGTGTGTGTGTGTGTGTGTGTGTGTCAGCGGGCCACAGTTAGAATTGGTACCAAATGCGCATTTGAGCCGCAACCAAACGATGGAGGAAGGTTAAAATGAAAAAAAATCAACAATGTATAATTTAGACATATGACCGCCGGACTCTGCAAATGAAGCCGTTTAAATCCGATGCACCGCGTGACACCGAGCGCGATCATGTTGCACCAGAATGGCTTATATGCCTTTACGGTTAAAGGATTCCAGACGAGGCACCTATATTCAACCAATCAATTTAAAGTTTAAGTCTAACCTTCCGCGGCAGTTGGCGATGCTGCTGTCATCCGCTGTCTGGCAACAATTATGCCAATGATGAATTCAAAGCTCGAGCCAAGAGACCAGACACACTCCACCGTTTCCCACGCAATGGTATTCACTTTGGTTTCAGGGGTAATTGTTTTGTTCTATTTACTTGTTAACTTCATTATTTATTTAATGTCTTGTTGTTCGTGGGAAGCCTCAGGCGCTCGGTCTAATTTTCTCTTCTCTTGTTTTCTTTCATTGGGCCAAATGGGGACAAAATACCTGATTCATTAGGTCGATGTTTTTTGGCTTTTAAATCTACAATTTGACTTTTGGTTGTAATTGTCCAATAAAAGCCCGAGCTGATACATATTTCATACTGAATAAATATATAAGGATAAATAAATAAATGACTTAATTTACTTGGAGACATAGTTGCAGAGACCAATGCACCTCTCTTTTTATAATATTAATTAAGTGTGCAAAAGTTTTACTGGAATATCGATCCTCCTTTTTTGTTCCAAAACTATTGGAAATGAATTATGGACATTCAACATTTCTTTAAAATTTTATTTTATTTGTATTTATTATATTGTAAGTTCAGAGAAGAAAAGAGAAATATAGAAGCATAAGTTTAAAGGAATTAAAAGTGTCCAAGCTAATTGCAAACATTAAAGTTTGCAACAAATACTTTACACAAGCAAACAGCACATGTATGTTAATATTTTATTTACAGTCCACAATTTGCAGGCAAAAATGAAAAATGTATACAATTCATATCTCGAAAACATTAATTTTTATAAGGAAAATTAATGAAAAATAATGACACACTTTTGGAAATCTTAATCTTAGAAAAATTGCAATTTGAAATAAGACATATATTCCGATAATTGATCCTCACAAATCAAGTGTCAGTCCACATCAACAGCATGCAATTACAGTTCATGTTTATTTTAAAGGTAAAATTCAAAATTCCATAGAGACAATAATCAATAAACTGGTCAATCCAATTAAATGCAGATGCCTATGTCATATAATCAAAACAGAACATAGAAGTATTATAAATATTCTCATAAAATAAATAATATCAATAAATAGGTGTTTCTTTTCTAATCAGCTGAGTCTGGTTGTAAAAACTTGATCTATATGTGCCAAGAGCTTCACACGTGAGTGATGTTTGTCATGTAACGCGGGTGAACTCTCGGGGTGCTCACGGGGCCCTCACGGGCCGCCAGCACACACGCACATATCAGCAGCGACGTGGCTGCACTTGTGGAATGAGACGCCGGCCGTGCAGATATTAGTGTTCCTGTGTGATGGCGCCTGGAGGAAAGATTAGGCCGTTCATCCTCTCTGCTCTGGCCTCTCCTCTCTCTCTTCTCTTTCCTGAGGCAGAAAACAGTCAGAGAAAAAAAACGTCAATTATATTGTTTGCATTGGCTTTGTTGATGGGGAAGGATTGGAAAACAGACGCTTTGTGCAGTGGTGGTTCAATGACGTATGAGGGAAATGCAAAAGATTGACTAATCACAATGGGTTGTATTGATATAAAAGCAAAGAAGGAAAGAAATGGCTCCATGTGGATGGAATATTCACATCCAACAACGTACATTAAACGTCATAACAAATCATTGAAACGATATCTGGTTTTGATCTGGTTAGAAATGTGCAAAAGTGGGTTTTTTAGGTATTTCCACATTTCTCCCGGCTTGTCCGCACTTTGATGCATTTCTGGCGGGATAATTGTGTCGAAACCACACCTCTGCTCCAGACCCATCATGGTGCGCTGCTGAAATGTGGGTCTTTATTCGTGTCTATTATGTGGTGAGCTGACCCTGTGATAATAAATCCCGGCATCCTGTCGGGGTCGTGGACTGTCGTTCTGGGACTACGGGCCTCGGCTCGGGCCCCTAGCAACAGAGGGTTACTTGTAAAACATGATGTGCCAGTGGGGAAGATCACAGCCACGGCAGTTGCCTGGGAATGTGCCCTTGGTTTGTACACAAAGAATGCTGTCACTCTGCATCAGAGCTGCGTGATGGACAAACTCGACTGGTGTGTGTGTGCGTGTGAGTGTGAGAGAACACACACCTATGTCAGACACACCTCTGCAGACTTATGCTCGTATGCACTGTGCAGCTGAGTCGACGCCAGTGAGTCTGGGCTGTATCAGGAGTGTGACTGTTTTTACCATCATCCCTTTGCGTGTATTAAGGCATGGTGAGGACCTATCCCTGCCCTATATGACTGGAGGGCTCGCCTTTGTTCTTCGCCGGTAATACAGACATAATTACAAGCCTTAAAGAGCCTCCTCACCTTGCTTTCTCTCTCCCTCTCTGCCTCATACACCCCTTGTGCCCACACCTTTGGCCCTCCACAGTTTTGACAGATACTCACATCCAGGGACTCAATCATCCTCTGCATTCAGCTGTTGGAAGTACCTGACAAGGGAGCTGCACACATACGCCCATAGGCCTCTGCGTCTTCAAAGCATTTGTGTTTATCTTCATTTGGCCTCCCTGATCCCATTCATCTGTCAAAAAGTGTAACTTTTCAGTGAACTATACCCACAGAGGTTGTTTTCCCCACTGGTAACATGGGAACGAAATTCAACACCTGCTCCTATTGCAACGCAAATCTGTAAGTCAGTGCCAACTGTAAATGATACCATATTGCTACCATAACCCCAACAGCAATAATGCTGCTGCAAATTCTTAATAGACCGAGCCACAGTATTGCATTCTCTCATGATATAATATAATTCCAAAGCTTGTGTGAAACTATGTGTGAAACTTGCGCCCACAATTTGAAAAACAATTTGACTATGATAATTAATTGTGGCTTTGTTTTCCGGCTGGCTGCTCTGCTGAGGCCAGCGGGGAATCGGGAAGCAGTCCAGCCTCCAGCGGGCCTTTTGAGAGTGCTACTGGATTCCCAGTTGTTGCAGGCAGGGTGGGACATGCATGACCAAAATGACAGAGTTGGCCAGCAGGTCAGCACCACGTTCTGCTTATAATCTCCCTGCAGCTCACATATGATTGAGCTGGAAATCTGCATGGAACTGTGACTCAACTTATTGACACACACACACACACACACACACACACGCACACACTGTAATATCTTATCCACCTGTGAGTTTTCTCTGCTCCAGAGGGAGTCAATAGAGACTGAAATATGGACACAGGGATGCTCTTTGAGCCTATGGTCAACATGTTCTCTCTGTGTTTTGCTGACTCTGCAGTCTGTGCCACAATCCCGCCCTTTTTTGGCAGGTTTATCTTTGCCTTATTTTGAAAAGACTAACATTTAGTCAGAAATAATGTGATTGGCATGTGGGCTGAGTATTTTGAAATTGAATTTACATCTGAAATCAAACACCCGTTTGGATCCAGGGTTTGTCATTATTGTCTCCTTCAGGTTGAAATATTTATCTTCAGTACTTTTTAGAGCAATCAAACCAATGATGTGTATTTTAGCATTTATCCATCTACTTTTACAAATTGTTATTGAATATTTATATCCTGGTGCGCACGAGCTATTTTTTCTAAATTAGGGTGATTGTAAATCAATCACCCCCACATCTGGAGTGTTGAATGAGCTGTAAAATGTGTATATCCTGAGTTTGACAAAACGTGGACAACCTTGCGTCGACAGTAACGTATTTTATTCACGTTCTTTAGTTTTCTGCAAGGAATTTTCCTAAATTCTGTTTGATGGTGGAAATGTGAACGTTTGCTCCAAAATTGAATTGAAAATATCAGAAAATATTTTCTGAGTGATCGCGAGATTTTGGAGTCACTGTTTAACTCTTTATAGTGCATTAATATCTCATCAGCCGGCGCCATAGGGGACAATTATCATGTAGCACACAATTAGGAATTGACCTGTCTGTATACAATTTATTCAATGCAGAGTTTCTAATAAACGTTGTGTCTGATTACATTATTAAAACTATTATTAAACGGAAAATGAAACTTAATTAACTTTATAAACGAAACTGCCAAATCTCATTTTATTTTATTTTACTTTACATTACGTTAGACTAATGGCCCAAACTTTTAGTTTAGCTTGTGTAAGCTCATTATTTCGTACTTTTTCAAAATCATATCGAGCATTGCCCATATTTGTTGACCTAATTATGGATCCCTCTTGAAACTCAACTAAATTGGCACAATAGCAAATACAATATTACTCTGAAAAGTATAATAAATCTATAGCTATGCTTCTCAATAAGTTATTAAATGTTCTAAAGCATATATGTTTTGAGGATATAGACAATATTAAGCCTGTGATGTAACGTACTTTTATTATAATTTATGGCATTGTATCATCGACTATAATAATATTTCTACATATGCCCAAATCATTTCATAATCTATATCGAAGGAGGTCCCTGCTGGCTGCAGAGCTGCATCCTGTATCATGTGTTAATAACGTTTAATGGTGGAGCTCCAGTGACAGCTGGCTGCTGAAGACCAATCAGAGAGCTCGCAGATGGAAGGCAGTTAGACTGAGGATCTGCAGGCAGGAGGTGTTTGAAGAACCATGCCAGCGCCTCCAAAGATGTAAAGAAGGATTCCTCTCGCTTTCGTTCGATCGTTGTCGACCTCCTAAACAGTTGTGAACATGCACGCTGTTAATAATTACAGCGGGAAGCTTTTCTTCACGAGCAAAGCGTTGGACGCAAGTGCGGATTCGTTCCAAGTTTTTCTCGCTGCCCGACAGAGCTCATGAAACCCTCTCCAGAGCGACGGGTTTATGGACTCGCGTATTAGCTAATGATGTCTATGGGTTTCATGCCTGACAGTCTGAATGCCTCAGATCCCTCCAAATCGGCCTTTCTAGAATTCGGCCACGGACATCCGGCGCACCAGCAACTCTCCCCCGGACTCTCTCGCATTTACCCCGTCCACGGCTTGCATGCTGCCGGGCATTCCCAGCACGAAAGTCCTTTTCCTGGCAGCGCGTCCTATGGCCGCTCTCTGGGCTACGCGTACCCCAACGCGGTGAACACTCATCCCCCGTCTGCTTACATGTCGTACCAGCACAGCAATCACAGCAACAGCAGCAGTCTGGCCCACAGCAGATTAGAGCACACAGGTATGTGGCAAAGTCTAATTGAGCGGGACTAAACTGGTGTATCATTAATGGCTATACAATTCAGATTTGCCATAAAGAAAATGCTTTTACGCACAGTCCGCTAATTGCAAATTTATTAATTTTAATAAAGAGAAAAGCAGTGAACTTTAAGGTTTGTAAATAAAGAAATACTAATTAGTTCCCCGTAATGTATAATGTGATGAATTGAAAGTTTAAGTTAGGCATGGACGTCAGCAGGTCATTAAAGTCCAAACAAGGCCTCAAAACACAGCCTCAGGGATGCTCCCTCTTTACCACTCATGTTATTCAATGAAGACAGATGGTGCCATTCATTTTATAGACCATGATTTGTAATGGGTAAGCCCACTTATGGCCCGTCTATCCTAGGCCTACCTCGGGAACTCGCCTTTTACCCTCACTGTTTGCGCAAAGCAGCAGTCCTTTCATGTGTCATTTAATATAACATCTAGGCATGGCCACGTGATTTGGGGACGCTTTAATGCAATATAGACAGATAAAACCTACATGGTTTCACTGGAAATACCTTTGTGTTAACAGCATACAGTGCGGGGCTTGTCAGACACCATATATCCTTTTTTTCAGCTGAATTATGTGTCAAAACCAAATCAATTTAAATCATCTTATTTTCTTTGTTCAATCGACAAGATCGCGAGAAGTCCACGGCGATTGAGAGCAGGGACATTCGTCTAAATGGCAAGGGGAAAAAAATCCGGAAGCCTCGAACCATCTACTCCAGTCTGCAGCTGCAGGCTCTGCACCAGCGCTTCCAGCAGACCCAGTACCTGGCCTTACCGGAGCGCGCCGACCTGGCGGCCAAACTGGGACTCACCCAGACTCAGGTGGGCCTTCAACCCAACCAGCTGTCCTGAATGGATCAGGGAAATGTAGGGTGTTGAAGATATACGCACTATATTATTACTATGATTAGTATTATTGTTGTTATATTTTATTATTATTTTATTTGTATTATTATTATTAGTAGTAGTAGTAGTCGTAGTATTATTATTACATTTGTAGCATTATTATTGTTAAGGTTATTATTTATACATGACAATGGGGATAATTAAGGTAATGATGGGGGTTGTGCTTATAATAATGTCACTGTTATTCAGCCTTAAACAGCAGAACCGCAATATTTATTGGCTTATTAAATAGAACTGGTTAATATTTTATATCTAAAAGTCTTGAATTCATCTAAGTTAAAACAGACTGAAGATATTTATTGCTGAGAGAAAGTGGACGTTGAAACACTTGAAAGGAAAACCTCTTATTAGGATCACAGCGCTTCAGGAGATCAAATGAGAGACCAACTTGTTGTGATTTGTAACTCGATCCTTTAATGAATGTTTTATTGACTATACTTATTTGCATGGCTGCATTTCCTTTTTCAAGCCTGGTCCTTGAAGTGCACTGAATGCAGCGTGACTGCAGTTACAAAATTATCAAAAACAGAATAAAAAATAAAATAAGTAGAATTAGTGGTTGTCAGCATTTGCTAAGTTTTACTTGAGAAAACACGACGAAAGTAAACCAGTTTGTTATACGCACCAATGTAATGCGATTCCACGAGCAATTACGAAGTAAATGCTGAGATATTGAAGCATGGGAGTAATTCAAGACAAACAGGTGTACGTGTCGCTGTCAACTTTTCATTCTCAACTGGAACATAGAAGTCTTCAGATGTCTTTTGTTTTGAAGTTTCAGAATGAGAGATAAACAAATTAAATCGTATCTGTCACCTGAGCTGCTTCCTCAATTGCAACAATTATCTCGCAGTTATAGCTGCCTCTCGTGTTGTTAGATGTTTAGAGTGTTTAATTTTAGCTTTTTTGTGCAATTTATAAATATTCACACCATTGCCCTCGGGTAAAAATATCCATTTCATTTTGGAATCCGCAGCGCCCTTTGAAGCTGTTTTTATTTCACAATACTTTCGGTCTCAATACTTTGGTTGCTGTGCACTCGTGCACCATTTGACTCATAAAGCAGCGAACAATAAGAGAGCTCAGTTTTAATGCCACTCAGCCAGTGGAGTGGTAGGCCTGGGACTTGCAGAAACAACACAAAGATGAGTTATGAGGGTTTTATTGTTCACAATATTCACTTCAGGCCAATTCTGAAAAGTGTATTGAGTTTAATTGGGGAGAAATATGCTGACAAAAAAAGCCATTCGCGGTATAATTTCCTTTATATTGCTGCAGATTGTTAACCGCAATTACAATTATGCGCATTTTCTCTTTTTAGGTGAAAATCTGGTTTCAGAATAAGCGCTCCAAGTACAAAAAGATCATAAAGCGAGGCAGCGGATCAGAGGGAGAACATCTCCACAGCACTAGCTCCATCTCCCCCTGCTCACCCGGGATGCCCCAGCTTTGGGAGGTCTCCTTGGCGAACAAAGGAGCCCAAATGCACCCAAACAATTACATGAACAGTTTTGGCCACTGGTATCCAAACCACCACCATCCCCACCAGGACGCGATGCCCAGTCCTCAGATGATGTGAGTGGATTGTTATGGTGACGTGCGGGTCATGCGCTGGTCCCAAATGAAGCGCACTTCACCCTGAACTTGCTGGTTTCTCTCAAGGCCTCCTGTCAGAACTGAATTGTGTTTAAATGTGTGTGTTTAAGAGATCTTGTTTATATTCTTTGTGTGCATTTTGAATTCAGTTTTCACAGCAAAATTCGACAAGGCACCAAATGTATTTTTTTAGATTTGTTTTATTGTCACTGCAACTTCTGGTGCAGGGCCTCAACTCTCTGCAATGTATGTGCAGTTTACCAAGAGACTGTGGATAAAAGGCATTTTAAAGAATATAGATTGTGTGCATGTACATGTACGTTATTAGGAAACTAGTTTCTGTTGCATGGTCCAACAAATGCTGTGAGCATTATGCTAATAAATGCTGCTGGATTGATATTATTTCGAATAATCTCTTGCGTGATGTGTTTGTTCAGGTTGCTGCTTTATTAGTGAGATCTTTTTTTTAATCTGTTCAAATAATTGAAAGGCAGATACATGAACGTGTGATTTTAATCATCAAACCGTAAAAGATCCGCCGGCTGCTTACAGGAGTCCGATTCATGACAACTGGACTTTGCCAGAGTCTCGCGAACAAAGGTGTTCCTGAGCTGTGGATGAAATACTGTCTCGCTAATGTGCAGGGTTTTGTTCACCACTCACAGATCAGCACGTCAGATAATTCATAACTAGGGACATCAGCTGCAGTTTGTCAATAAACCTGCAGATCTGCGTGGATTTTGCCAGATGTTTTGTCAAAACACCGTTTTGCTTAAATCGTATCCACTGTCAGTTTTCTCATGTTTTGTGATAACTGGGCTACTTTATTTTTCAAAGCCAACACAACACACTATCCACTAACGGAAAAAAATATTTAGTTCCCATCATGGTGAATCAAAGGGGATGTGGAGTGCCACCTTTACGCACGGTGGTTGCGGTGTAACTTTTACGCACGGACAAATAGGCTTCGACGACACGTGCCTTCCTAATTGTTTATTTGAATTTGAAAGTCAGCATTGCAACAACAAGTCAGTTTGATATTTTAACACATTTGGATTCCTCTTTTTCGCGATCTCTCAAACAAAATATTTTCTTCTTTTTAAACCGAAAGGAAGACTGTTTAGTCCGAGGCAACTTTATTCACCAGAGAGGGAAACATGCCGCGAGGAGAAGAGAAAGCACGTGCAAGCCAGTATTTTAACGAGCTTCTCGTTCCCTCTCGTCTCGAGTGAGCTCAAACCGAAAACTTGCCATTGATATAATGAGATGACGAATGGTTACGCTATTCCTCCAATATACGTACACCTGATTTACGGTCGTTTGCACTGATTTGCACATTTTGGCGGTTACACTGTTTAAATGAGCTTTTTCTGTCTTTGCACTTGATTAAATTGGGGGTTGATTAATGAAGCCGAATGGTTCGTTAATTAAAGAAACCAGTGAATTATTTTTCTTTCTTCCTTTCATCACTCTGCTGTCTTAGCTGTCTGGCAAACATTAGATACAATTTGTCTGTCATCCACAAAGGGATTAGATCAACAACTAACCAATCATACAAGTTATATATGGGAGACATTTTCTTCTGATATTGCTAATAATACTGTGAATCTACAGTATTAAAATACAGTCATTTATCACAGGTGTAGCTGTGTATGGTTGCAACAAAATCAACTAAATAAATACTGAATAACTTTAATTCTGCACTTTTCGCACTGAAGTCTTGCACAACTGTTATTTCTAAGATTAATAATATATTTTTTATTAACAACAGAGCCACTCTGGACACATCTTGTTGCATTCAAACAAACATGCCTACATCTAACTGCAAGCTGCTATAGGCGCCATGCCACCAGTCATACAGGCCACACTGTCTGGTCTTACCTTAGTCCGAGAAGTGCAGCCTTGTTCAGGAGGTCTAAAGCCTGCAGTGGTGTTTCTCTGAAGAACAAAAGCCACATCAGAGCCCTGTGTTTTCACTCCTCCAAGCTGATTTTCTCACACAACGACAAGCATTGTGTTACATTAACATCTCCGTCTTTATATATACACAACCTCGTACCCTTTTCCTTCATCATTATGTGCCTTGTTAAACATGCGGGCCTGGGGAAGAAGAGGCAAGTGACGGGGCATCAGGGAAAATTATAGGCAATTTCACATCTCCAGATTAGAATAATGGCTTGTGGAGTTGGACAGACAGAGTAGGACCTTTCAAACGGGGCCAATTATCATGCAGGCAGATTGAAGGGAAAGTGAAAAGGCTCTTGATGTAATAGACGAGCTAAGATGAGGGAACGGAAGGCTGTGAGATGGGTTGAAGGGTAGTGATGGAGGCAAGTATGACTGTATCAATTCTGCAGACGGTCAGAGTTATACGAGGTGTCTGATGGGTTTTAATTCCAGGATAGCAATAAGAGGGAAAATAGCTTGTAATTAAATCCCAGTTGCTGTGAATGGGCGAAAGGCAAAGCAGGTCTCCGGGGTGATTATTGTTATTAACTTGAGTGATCTGCATCTCGGGTAATTGTGAGCAGCTTCCCTTGTTAGAGAGAGTGAATGCATGATTTGGTTTCATCTGAGGGGAAGGCTTGACTTAATTTAGGACATGATGCATACACACGCACACAAACTCTGGAGGGATTCAAAGATGGAATACAGTTTGGCAGGCAGAAAGGCATGCACACACACACTGAGATTGGACCAAAATCATGGATTTAAGAAAGCCAGGCACTCAAAAATGTGGGGAAAAGCACTTGTTTCCATTTATTTACAATTTTTTTCAGTTCTTAAGGTCTGTGAACCTTATGTCTGGAGGACACATTTTCACTTTGTAGGTCAAGGTGAGCTTATGCCTGAGCAGCAGCGAAACCTCACAGTGTGTGGGTGGCTTTATCAGGATGTGATGACTGGCTGTGGTGCATCAGCACACATTCCGGCCCTGGCCCGAGGTCAGCCAGGGTTCACCAGTACACAGATGTCAAGGATGCCTTTCTCCCTTCATTTCATCCCAGTTTACTGCAAGATGGGCAGAGTGAGTGATCCTAATGCAGCCGAGGCTCGGCCAGGGCCCGGACTAAGTGTTGGACAGCTGCAAGTCTTTCCATGCATGCATTTCAGTTCCCGACCTCCATCTCAACCCCTATCGCTGCACCCCAGAGACAAGTGCCGACACCACTCTGTTGACTGTTGCAGGGGCGGGGGGATGGAGAAGGGGTCTCAGGGGCCCGGGCACCGGCTCTATTTAGGGTGCTGTGATGTTGTGCCATGCAGGATCACATTCAAGTTCAACAGTTCACCACCACCTCGATGGCTACTTACACTTGTTAATGTTTCGAGATGACATACATGGACACGTCTCGCAGCCCACACACACAAGGGCAGCCTGTCGTGAACACACGTTTGTCTTCGGCACAAATGTTTCCCTGACAACCACAGTCGAGGGCCACACACGCTGAGGGAGCCACCGAGGGGAGGTCAGATGTACTCTTGATGAGATTTCATTGATATCAAAAGCTCAACAGTATTCATGCTGCTTTTGTCAAATCAGCACAGTGCACTGAGATGAGTGATGCTGTAGACAACTGGTGTTGAGTTCATGGAAATAGGATTTGTTTGGCAAATGTTGAAAGAATGTATGAGACCTTTGGTAGAAATATGTGCAGTGCTTTTTTTTTTAGAATAAATTAGATGCCACAGGGGTCAAAGAAACCAAGAAGTGCACAAAATATAAACCTGTATGGACAAAAAAAGGGAAAAAATATGAAAACAGGTTTGATTTTAGTCCAACGGTCTTTTCAAAATACATCTCAATTTATTGGAATCATACATTTTTGTGATATAAAACTTTCAAATGATCAATGAAATGAACTGAATTCCTATAAATAAATCAAATAAATTGGAAGAATATGAATTAATATGGATTACATCATGTTGTAGTTCCCATTACCACATTCCTTAAACGTGTATTGGATTAGTCAAAATCACTGGTGTATTTTTCAGCCATATGTGCTCATATAGAAACAATAATAACTGAGGGCAAACTCTAGCCAATCATGGTAAACCATATTCGCCAAAAGACACGTCGGTTTTAACAATATAAATATATATTTATTTATTCTGTATAACTTTTTTTTCTTAAATCCACCAAAAATATGTAATAATCATATTGTCAATAAATCTATATCCAGAATTGCATTGAATAAAGTAATATTATTTTGTCATTCAATTTGTCTTATGTTTTCCGTGATGCAAGTAAATCCAACAATATCCAATGTGAGAGAAATCAAATGTAAGGCGCACTGTGAGACTTGATGGTTTCAGATCAACATTTCTAAATTCACATTTGACGCTTTAATTAATGCTCTGAAAATATTGCCTTGATACAATGTTGTAGTACAGTTTCACAGAGTAACACCTCCAGTCCAAAGCGCATACCATTCTAGTTACTAAAACCATTCTAGTTACTAAAAGCGGTAGAAAAGATTAGCCTATAAAACACCGTGGGTACATTTTCTCTCAGTGCGTAATGACGCATTGGTGGTCCATGTGTAGAAGATCGCCATCAGCGGTTATCCCATCGTGTAATTGTTTGTTCAGCATATTTAATAACGCATGCTTTTGTGGCCAAACTGAGGTCAGCGCCCTCTGTCATTATTATTAGACGGGAAGACGCTGAAAGGGAAGTCGTGATTTTTCTGACTATCTTAACCGTCATTATCGGAGTTGTCATGTTTCTGTAACATCTTTCAGTTAGTTAATATCACTATTCCCCAGGTTTCACGTGCGCGACTCTCGCTCTTATTCGACTATTGTATCACCGTGAAAGACCTGTTGCCTATAAGAAAATAAATCACAAAATGTGTGCCTTATGTTGTGGAACACACTTCCTTTAATTTTGGGTTAAAGAGGTGGGTCGTCACATGGTGTTTCACCCCTAAACTCAAGTTAAAAACCTTATCAGCTGATCCTTTTTTTCCCATGAACTACTTTGCTAAATGCAAAAGGACGAAACACTCAAAAAATAAAAAAGGGCTGTTTTCTTATACCGTCAATATTTGGCAGCGTTTCTATTCATCCTGCTGCGCGCACCACCTGCGGCAACAGCCTTGGTTGCACGCACAGTGCGTGCGTGTGTGCGTGTGTACGAGCTAACTTCTCTCTTGTTATCTGGCAGCAGAATAGTAATAAAACGGACTGACTCCAACATGTCTGCTCCTATGTCGCCTCCTACTGCAACGCTTTGCACGCAGCTCCCAGTCAGCTCACTATGCTGTGACCAGTAGACCCACTGGACTATTTAGACCTAAAGATGCGAGGAAATGTTTTTTAAATATGAATCACAAACTTTTATGAAGTCTGTACGTTTTTTTGTGAATGTGCAGGTGCAAGCATAACTTTTAAACAAAATGATCTAGATTCGAAGTGAGTGATATAAATCGTTGATTTAATAAATATAAAATGTTCAAACGGGTTCAACTGATTCCTAAATGTTCTCTTACAGAAACAGTTCCTGCGCTGACTCTATATAATTACCTGTCATGCATCTAGAAAAACAGCCTGTTTATAAAGGGGCTAGACACACAACATGCAATTAACAACTTTATTCAATTGACAAGAAGGCAACAGGTGGACTAATTACATGAATATGACTGGTTTTTGAAGCACCACAGTTCCATTTCAAACAAATATCATCATAGTGGTTCTGCATATAAACACATATTTACAGCCTTCGACGTTTTGTACAAATCCATATAAATATGACCTGAGTTCTTATTTTGACGCGCTACAAACCCGCATGCTTGATGCGAATGCAGCATGGATTAACTGCACAGTTGTGAATATTCGGTTTGTAGCTACTTGTTTAAAAAAAACCTTTGCATATTCGTTTACAAAAAGGAGTGAAAGAAATATAACAGAAGCGATAAATAATTTAAAAAAAGACACGCCAGATGTCCGTTAAATATGCTGCCACAAGTGATAGGAAATCCCTTATGTGCTTTGTGAATGGAAACCCCAGTTCTGAAACAGTTTTGATCATCCAGAAAACCAAAAGCAACGTTCCCCTTCAGGCCTGCTCCCGGTCCAGGCAACCTTTGCTCCTCAGAGTCATTGTGGAGAGGCTTCGTTTGAGAAGAAAAATCTGCCGAGTCTTTGTTAATAAACAGCTCCCACGCTTTGCTGCGGGACTGGGTGATGCACGGTGCCCGGGTGCTGTAGGTGTGATCCCTGCTGGTACCAGTGGTTGTTATAATCCTCCAGGTATGGCGGCGACGAGCTGTGAGTCGGCTGCGGGACCTGAGGTCTGCTGATGGGGGTGTTCTGTGGGGTGCTGTTCTCCCAGACTGCGGGGGAGGCCGGGGAATTGCAGGCCATGGAGTCGCTGGCGTTGGGACTGTGCTCCAGGGGAACCTCGCCGTTCTTGTACAGCTTCTTGAACTTGGACCTCCGGTTCTGGAACCAGATCTTGACCTGGGAGAATACGAGTGTGAACATTAATTGCAGTTTAAAAAATAAATCGCTGTAAAACATTTATAATCACCATTCACCATTTACAAATAATTACCTCGTATGTAAACACACATTTTGCAATATTTGACTGAGAGAAAATAGAGCATTTAACTGTTTAACTTTTATCTAAATGAAGTGTCTCAAATCGAAAGACAGAAATCGAGTGCCGTGCGTAATTGGATAATTACGCATCGTTAAATAATTACGGAACAAATTGCTTGACGTATTTGGGGAGCCATGACTCACATGACTCTACACGCATTGATGCATTAGAAAATATCAGGTGTTGTACCAGGTCGGGCTGCTTACCTGTGTCTGGGTAAGGCCGAGCTGAGCCGCCAGCTCCGCTCTCTCGGGTAGAGCGAGGTACTGCGCCTTCTGGAAACGCCTCTGCAGAGCAGCGAGCTGGTAGCTGGAGTAGATCGTCCTCGGCTTGCGGATCTTTTTCGGTTTTCCATTGACCATGCGGACCTCAGGCTCTGGCTCTTCTTTCACTAAAATTTACAACAAAATGTTTCGATGAAACAGACCATCAAGAAAATCATAGAACATCCATTAAGTGTAAAACATTGAGCATTATGGAATATAGATGAAAACCATCACGACAAAATGTTGAAAAACGGTAATCTAATAAAACACATATAACATTTCATGTTTAAAATTGCTTTGTAGTATGAATGTGGCACAAGTGTGTCAACGTTAAAACTATAATATGGCAACTTCAAAGGCAAATGCCTCAAAACCAAAACCAAATCATCAAAACGGAAGATAAAAGTATCTCGATTTTTCAAATTTCCATTCTGGTAAACCTGGGGACATGTTAGAAACGATGGAGTGAATATTTAAAGCTCTAATCAAATCATCAGTGTTTTATGACCAGCTATTTAATAGCCAGGCAGGCTGTTAATACATTAACACAAAACGGTATATGGCTACTGAGCAAATATTATTAAATCAAATATACATACAAGATATTGTAAGATCAAATGTATGGGGATACAAAACATAAAGAAAGAATGTGATTTGACTTAAGTCAGATCATATTTATTTTTACAACAAACATTTTCCAAAAACTATGGGAAATTTAAAAAAAAAAAAGACAACAGACAATCCACAAATATGATGAATAAAATGGAAAACATAGCTGGTGATACAGTATGATTACATACTCAATCACTGCTCTTTTTTGAGATTTTTCTCATCCCAAACAAGTGACTTGACCTCAACGCGCATGCCATCATACGCACATTGGAATTAAACACGATCGCGCATAAAAATAAACGATGATCGCCTCAACAATTACCTGAGCACGGAGGGGAGGCCTGCAGGTGGTCTCTGTTGTAATGTCCGAACTGTCTGTAGCTATTTGTGTAGGGATATTCAGATTTGGTCGCGTACGCTCCGGCAGCTCCCATTCCGTTCAGATTAAACTGATGGTGATAAGAGTTCATGGGCTGTCCGTACGCCTGACTCTGATAATATTCGTGATGGCTCGGCCCCGTCTGTCCGCTGTAGTAGCCCATGTCCGTCACCGAAGACTCGGGGAGAGTAGGAGAGTCCTTGGAGTTCGGGTGGCAACTCATAGATCCTGGTAGATCGGTCAAAATACTCGCTATCTTCTTCTCATACGTCTGTCCGCCGCTCATGTTGAAGCAGCCCTCCAGAGTAAGGAAAGGCCACTGGTGGATCCTTTTTTTGTTGTTGTTGTTGTCGTTGTAGAGTGCGTAAAGCAAAATCGCAGTAAAATAATTGGTGGTCGCGCGCTTTAGAGAGCTTTTATAGTCCACTGAAACTCTCCCGGCTGCAGTAACTTGGTTGTGGCATCGCTCAGCTTCTGTGACACAGAGTTATAGAGAGCTGGACTGGATGCTGCCTTCCCATTGGCTCAACTGCCCCCCCCCCTCTCTTCCTCCTCTTACACTCAAGGCGAAATCCTGGTGACACCCAGCCTTCAGCCAAGAGCACATAGGCACGCACGCAAACCTCAGCGCCTTGAGTTCTTTTTTCCTTAGATTTGCATTTACCTGTTCACATGCAGCTCTGTCGGCCTCCAGGGACCGTATGTAAAAAAATAAAATAAAACACAACTACCTATAGGTCCAGTTTTTTCTCAACATCTACAGGCTGGCACCAAGATAACATAACACAATAGTCTTTCTAAAGCCTAATCCCGCAAGCCTCTCCTTAATGTTTTATGCAATGTTTTCTTAACAGTGCCTCGAGATCACACTTTATTCAGCCCATTGAAAGGCTGCCAGCCGGCCTCCCGCAGAATCTTATTGTCATTCAAAGGAGTTGTCGGACAGCGAACGTTACGTGAAAGAGATGGAAAGAGATAGGTAAAAGACTCGTTCAACTGATATTGCCTGCGGGTAAATTCCTCCACGCTGCCCGTGTTGTGTGTGCGTGTGTGAAAATGCTAATTCGAACAACAAAATGACTTTAAAAAAAAAAGACTAAATGACTGTAATGTAATGTAATCTGCTTTTTTTAGCAGACGCTTTATATTAGTTAATATTGAACGTATGGTTTGCATTAAACAGTTTCATTTTTATTTATTTTCTGGAATATTTTGCAGACTGCAATTAAAAAACGGACAATTTTCACTTCTTCTGCAGCTCGTTTGCTGTCAGCTGAAAGCGCGGTGGGCAGCGCCCCCTGCTGTGTTCATTCACAACCGGGACTTTAGTTATCTACCTGCAAAATAGAAACATGCAGCTTTACACTGATGATGATGTACAAACTGTGTTTTACCGGCTGACAATATTTCCCACTGTTGAATGAACATTTTCCACCGAACACAATGTCAGGTTTTAAATGACAGTTGTGAAATAACATGAATTTCCCTTTTCGCCTCTCATGTCTGATAAACTACCGCCCTCTTTTGGTAAGTTTATGTAGCACTTATGTGAAATTTTAAAGGGTCAGTTCTCCCAAATAACCCACATTTCTGAAGATCTAAAGATCTGAAAAAAAATCCACCTATTTCTTCCAGGAACTAGTCACCCAGATAGATTCAGTACCTATTATGCCAAAATCTCAATCTGTATATAAAAACATCCAAAGAAAAAAAAAGTTAATTCATTTTTAACTGCTACTTAACACACAGAAAGAAAAGAATCTACAGATTAATCGACAATGAAAATAATCATTAGTTGCAGCTACTTACGTCCAAATGTTTTTGTCTTCACTTTCATCATCAGTCAACTAAAGAAGAGAGGAGGACATTTGATTCAATGGTTTTTATCTTTGCTATGGAACATCTTGATCCATGAAAAGAGTTTTTATATATATATATTTTGCCAAAATCCTTCCAGCATATTTAAGCATGTCTGAGAGAGACAGTGCATGTCTCAAGTTTTTATTTTGCAGAAACAATCTGTGGTTTCATCACACTCTCGAGTCTCACACTTTAAACTATTGCGAAACAGGAAGATCATAATGTAGATTATATGCCTCTAGATAAATTAGATAAAAACACACACACGCACACATTCAAAATTGAAACGTGTTGGAACACAGAGCTTGTAGTATAACAATGTAAAGCCGAAAATATGTCCCCAGGTAACAATCTACCAACATTTCTTCAGTCCTGTCAGAGTATCATGAATGTGGAGAGACTTTCTCTTTCATTGTAAATTGGTCACGATATTGTAGTATCACAAAACATCCAGCAGATGGTGCACACGTCTTAGATGTCAATGTGGAGGTGTCAATATGAAAAGACTGTCCTGGTAAACACACACACATGCACACACGCACGCTCTCACAAACAACATCAAATTGTAGGAAATGCATAGATTATTGTGGAGGCTTTGTGTGTGTTATTATTGTTATCTCTGTCAATCTTTTTAAGCAACAAAGGAACATGCTGTTACCAACACCAGGCTCCTCTCAGGGGGTGATGGTGTGAAGATCAAATATTGGACTTAAAAAAAGAAATGTAATTACAGTTTTCTTCCATTTTTCATCATGCGTTAAGTTTATTTTCTTCTGAGAGGCTTCAGGTTGGGTCAGGAACTGTGTGAGATCCTTACAGACACTGTATGTAATATTAACTTGCTAGTATGTCTATTATGAGATTTCATAGTCTGCCTATGAATACAAAAGAAGGACTATATTATTGTGTCTACACATACACTCTCAGTGGCTAAGTTTCGGAAATAACTATGAATTACAGTTAACGTTGTTTGCCTTCAGGTTACACCTGCAAAAAGCATGAAATTGCAGAGACCAGACCCCTTATCTGCAAACTTGTCATTTGTCTTTGATCCACAAATGTCATCCCAGACGGAGAAGAGACTCCCCACCTGTATGCATAAACCCATAGACATAGTGCTTTATAGTCTGGTGGAGTTTATCCATTGTGAGGTATACATGTGTGTACAGATCAGTCTCAAGTCCTTGGCTCAAATCTTTTTTTTCTCTCAGAGAATAATGTAATTTATCTTTGGGTGAAAATCTATCCTGCACATGGTCAAATGAACTCTCTGCACTACTCTGTGAGTCAACCAATCAAACCCTCACAACACAGTAACATGAGACAGCTTTCAGGGGCATGTTTTGTACCTTTCTAATGCAGTGTGCAAAAGTGGAACAGCTGGCTCGGTTCCAGCACAGGACAAAAGCCCGGACCTTGCCCAGAGAAACCACGGCAATTACTGACTAACTAGGGTTTGGTCTGATCGCTGTCGAGGGAAAAAAAACGTACCTTTTATACTGTACATTACAAATGACGCTATTTCCCCCCCAGAGAAAGTAAATTTCCTCCCATTTTAAACTTCTAATATCTTCCTGCGAGTCATCAGTGTGATTAAGGGAGCACCTGTTGGCCAAAAAGAGCAACAGTAATGGTAATGACCCTCAGACGTGACGTACGAGACCTTCACATGATGGCTGTACTTATCAAACAGTTTCACCCCAAGTACAAGATGTACCTCTCTCCGTATCTCTGCTTGCAGCCCTCTTGTTTTTAGAGACAGATGCCAGCTTCAGCATTCCAGATTGAATTGATTCTCCCTAAGACTGTACGCAGCTTTATGAAGGCCTCGAGCCAAATATTGTGCTCTCTGTCTTGTTGTGCTCAAGTGTTTCTGAAAGCATGAGAGATATGCAAGTTGTATTGATATGAATAGAAATAAAAGATGGTGTAGAAAGCTGTTCTGGGCTTAAACAAAGAAGCAGAAATGCCATGAGAAACATATTTATACACCTACTACCTACTTGCACTATAAGGACTTCTATAGCAACACCGAGGGCTATATTTAACCCCCAACACACAACAAGTTAAAGGGATCCCCTCAGTGCAGTAATGTGCACATAATCCCACAATCATACACCTACACTGCAGAGGATGTTTAGACTTTAGTTATGAGGGGGATGGTGACACCACAAAAACAAACTCTGCTCATTGCCGCTTACGCCCCCGCAACCATCAACTCAATTTCTTCTCCCTTTGAAAACTTCAAGGCAGCAGCGTGGAGCTCCTCGAGATAACGAAGCGCCACCGGATAGTTCGTGCTGATCTGATTGAATGGTCGGCTCTCTCAGGGAGGGAGTCAGGGCACTGTTATGAGTGGGAGAGCTGGAAGTCTATTAACCCGCTAACTCTCTCTTTTACTCCCCGCTCTCCCTCCTTCTTCAGTCCTGATTAGAGATAAAAATGGCAAAGAGTCAAGGACTTTAAGCCATCTGCGTCCAGACAGGGAAAATCACCCAATGCTCTTTACTTCTTTCATGAGGGAACTCTTGTCAGTCTTTCCTCCAAATGCTTCCAGATATCTAACTGTACAATCTTCAAAATGCAATGTCCAAAGACTAAACTTAACAAGCCCATCAGAAGACTACAGTCATTGGCTTTCACTGCTGAAACTCAGCGCTCCCATCCCTCCGAAATAGAAACACTCAACTCGATCTGGGATTTCTCTGGAACAACTGATCGTTCCCCGTCTCCCAGTGGTGTTGTAAGTTGGCTCAGCTGCATGGAATTGAGGCCATGCTGTTCTCAGTCTGCTTCCCACCACGACAGTGCAGAGTGTGTGTGTGTGTTGTTCACTGAAGGAGCCCAGGTAAGGCCTGGGTAATGTGTTCCCAGGGGTCCACAGCTGCCAAAGGAGTCAAAAAAGCTAATAGACGGCACATGTGACCAAATGTTAAAGGGCATGCCCTTTGCCCCGAACACGCACACATGCACAAAAAACCTTTCCAAAACACCTTCCAAAGCTAAATGCACCCCTGCTGGGCTGCTTCCCCTCACACTGGCTCTCATGTGAGCTGAAAACAGAGTCATTGGCTATCTGCTGCTTTTAATGGAGCACTAATGGCAATTGTCAAACTGTAGTCACGCTCATCTGTTGACACACTTCCTTCACTCCTTCTCTTGCACCCTGTGACATGTACAGAAGAAGACTTTGATTTAAGTTATTTTTATTCTTTACTTTAGCTTCAGCTCCTGTTGTTGTCCTCTTGGCTAAACAAATTGCGTTGCACACTTAAATACATAAAATAAATGTCAAATGTTTTCAATTCATTTAAAAAAAAAATGTTTGTATATATCTATACAATATAATATAAGATATTTACTGTGTGAAATTCATTTTCAGCCATATCAACAACTCCTAATGAAGGCCTGTAGATGTGAGCACACACTCCAACAACTATTCAGTCTGTAGTATATTTAAATGCAGAGATGTAAACAAACAGCCTCGTGGACGGAGACAACAGGGCTCTGACCCGGACAGCATTCCGTGTCAATCACCTTTTGCAACAGTGCACTGCACTAATTGAG